AAGTATACAGAAAACAGAATACAGAAAGTTTGAGACTTGCTAGAGATTAAGTGGTCCTGGTCAGAATGTTCATAGAAATATGGACAATAAAGTCAATTCTGGTGAGGTGTCTGACAGAAATGAGGAACACGATATTGCAAACTACAGGAGAGGTCATCCTGTTACAAAGTCACAAGTAAGTTAGGTGAACTGTGTCCACGCTTGAGAGCTTGATGGGAAGTGAAACTTAAGAACAATAAGCTACAATACACTGTGCAAGACAGTTTTAAACAAAATATTACAGGGGCTGCATGACTACTTTTAGCTGTATACAGTAAGGTTTGAGAAGAAAAAACTTAAACACAGAATTTATAATTTAAAAAAGCAGGACAGAATGACATAGAAAATGCAATGCCTAACCCGGTAAGAATGAAGACTAATGAAGAGTGCAAACGGAAGACTGGCCAAGCTAATTAAGACTAGTACAAAACAGACAGAAGACAAAGCAGTGGAAGCGACGCTGAAGGCATTTCAGAGACCTTTGAGGCTGCCTCTCCCAGGGACAGGCCCACAGTTCTAGGTTTGGGACCTGAGCCAGGGAACCCTCCATAAGCTTACAGCCCTGAATCACCTGGTAACTCTGCTCCCTACACCTAGGAGCTGCAGCCTAAAGCAGCCCCAGGTATAATTCTAGCCACCATTCCAAAGGATAAGGGGTTGTAAACTTTGGCAGTGTCCACATAATCAAGGCACACAATGTAAGAGCTGTGGGGGCAGCTCTGTGTGGGTCTCTATATAGAAAGGATGTCCCAGACAGCCTGAGGGCCCTGACAGAGACCTGTCAGCAGAGGCAGAGCCACCCTAGAAAAGACAACACCTAGTGGAACAGTCCCACATAGCACAGAACTTGGGCCCCCAGTGGGCAACTTCACCCTAGGAAAGCAAGTGACAGCTGCTGGATGTACTGAACCCAGCAAAGCCATATAGGGACCAGGCTTCCTGAGGGACATGGAGATTATTCTCCAGCTTAAAGATGTAACAGGTTCACAAAGGGGTTTAATTCGTATGTCCTGCTGCTGGGCGGCTCTGATTGGAATTCATCATCTGATGTTAAATGACTAACCACGGTTGGTTCATGCCACCCAATGGGACAGTCATGCATGTACCACTGATGATTCAAGCCAAGCCAGCAGGAAGGTGTTAATATGTTCGTTTTCCTTTCTGGACTGTGGACTTACTTGGGACCACTTACCCTTTTCTTCTTGACTATTTCTCCCTTTTGGAACGAGAGTATCTACCTCATGCCTGTTCCACCCCTGTATTTTGGAAGCACATCATTTGCTAACTTCACCCGCACAGAGCTGGGGAGGAATTTACCTCCAAATAAATCATAACCTGAGTTTTACCTGTATCTGCTTTGACTCTGGACTTTAGAGTTAATGCTGTAATAGGTTAAACCTTTAGGGGCTAAATATATTTACACTTTTAGAATAAATATATTTTGCATTGTGTAAAGAACACTGAATTTGGGAGCCCAAATTCTATGCTATGGTTTTAATGGGTCCCCTCATATGCTAGACACAATCCCCAGTGCAGGAACCTCTTAAGAGGGAAGACCTAAGAAGAGGTGGATAGGTCACCAAGGTTGTGTGCAAAAGAAAAGATGAAGGTTGTTACTGGGGGAAACAGGCTTGTTAGGAAAGCACGTTGGGGCACCCGCCTGCCCTCCTGCCTCTTCTGTCACAATATGCCACAGCATAAAGGCCCTCACCAAAGACACCACCTTCATACTGGATTTCTCAGCCTCCAAAACGACAAGAAACAAGTTTCTGCTCTTTGTAAATTACCCAATCTATGCTATTCTGTTACAACACAAAATAGACAAACACTATTTTATGCAGGTACTTCAGTAAAATGTCTACAGATATACACACATGCACATACAAGATACCAGGGAGGCAAAACAAAGTATTTCTGGAGGTACATCCACTTTACTGGAGCAGATCAGATTCTGACTTCTTAGCTGGATACCACACATTCTTAGGTTTAAAGGCGTAAAACTGTGGTAGTGATGCTACAAGATCAGCTCAATAATGAACAGAATTTATTCTAATACCAATACTTAGAATGTGTTGCCTGTTTCAATTGCCTCGAACACTTAATTAGAAAATGAACTGTATCTCGAAAGTACAACAGAACACAATAAAAAAAAGTCCACTAGAAATTAAAGAACGCAATCTATTTCTCTGATTCCTAAGCAAAGTTGCCATTCACTGACAGGCAGCAAGTTTATCCCATCTAGGAGTCACCAACTTAGATATTACTGATATACCTAGAACCCTATATAGAAAAGAGCAGCATCAGCCCATGAAGTTAAAACCACCACAGACTCCAAATACTAAAATCGGTGAGCAGGTAACATTTTCAAATAACTATGAATTTTAAAATGCTATTTTAAAACTGCCTGTGAAGTCCATGTATCTCACTTTCCTAAAATATGAAATGGTCCCATCGATTACTACTATTTTTCCTCCACTAATGTGCTTACTTCACAATCCGTCTTCTGTTTATCTCCTGCCTTATCGCTCACGTTCCAACTCTACTTTTATTTGCACAATAATAAGAAAATCTTAGATCACCTATTAAATCCAAGACCTGCACTAAACGTGTACCTATGAGTATTTACTGTTCACTTTTTTTTTTTTTTTTTTGTATTTTTGAGCCAAGGTCTGTCTCACTGTGCACTTCAGGCTGGCCTTGAGCTCACTTTGTAGCCCAGGCCGGCCTCGAACTCGAAATGACCCTCCTGCCTCAGCCTCCCCAGTGCTAGGATTACCGGCGTGCGCCACCACGTCCGGCAACTGTTCACTTTAAATGCTTACTAAACAAACACTACTGTTAAATTAATTAGAGCCATAACTCAGTCATCCAGAAAAAAAGTGGCAAAATTCCATCAATAATTTTACAAAACATCTGAAGTTACAAATTTTCTTAGCATCTCGGCCTCAACAAATATACCTAATCAAGCCCATAATACCAAAAACCAGCTAATCTTTAAAACATAAATCTCTCGAAAAATGCATAATAATCCTTTTAAGAACAAATAAGTACTAAAACATCATACCAAGCTCACAAAAATGTTTTTTGATGTCCACCTTAAACTGCCTATCGAATTATTTCAAAACCTAAAAGCTCTTTAGAACTCATGAAAACAGGACTCCCATTTGTTTAGAAATGATTCATATACTAAGAGGCAGAGGAGAAACCTGGCAACTACTCTACTCTTTCTAGGGCAATATTCCATAAAATACAGATTACATTTACACTCACAGGGAACTCCACTGCCTACTAACTATAAGGTTGTAAGGCACGAGATAATAGTAAGGCGATGTAGGTCAACGGTAGAGCGCTTGTCTAGCGCGCAGGAGGCCCTGGGTTCAATTCTCCGCACTGCAAACATAACAACAAAAAAAAGGTAAAAAACGATAAAACATCCTTACGTATCTTCACCCAAGCGCTCAGGAGCACACAAACCTACGCCGTGCAAGAAACGCTTTCAAGGCATCACACTAAGATTTCGCTCGATGCTGAACTGTTGAAGACAGGAACCCTACTGACACCCAGCTAACTTACTCCAGCTTTCAAGAAAACTATGTTGCAATGCCAGTCTTGCGAAATCCCTACTCTAAACGCTCGATTCAACCTGCGAACACCAGAAAAGCTGCGGTCCTCTCCTCCTTAATCCTTAGAAAGCATTTCCTGCCTGGAAAACCCTTCTCCCGCAAGCCTGCCACAAACTTTTTCCGTCCTTCCAAGCCACTCCGCTTAAGACCGCCCCTCGCCGCCCGCCCCCTACCCACACACATCCCCACCGGGGAACCTCCACGCCGCAGACCCCGCTCCACACGGGCACGCCAGACACATGTGCCTGCAAACCCGGCCCCTTTCCACACCCCCCGGAAGCGAC